TGAGGTGGCCTGAAGAGGGCAAGTCATTTTGGTCAGAAACGAATGGCGAATCAAGCTCGGGAGTTGTTTGAGAGCTAGGATATTGATGATCATCGCTGTCTAGACTATCGGATGAAGATCCTGACTCGGGTTCTTCTATCTGAGGAACAATCTCGGAAACTTCTAGAGCCAATTCCTCCGCTACACACGGTTTGGAAGACCACTTGACGCAAGCTTGAATTCTCTCGGGCCACCCTCCTTCTGGCTCTTGGTGGCTAGCGAAAGTCGACTGCCAGAATTCTTCAAATGATTCATATGCAATTGAAGGCTTGTCGCCACGACCGTAAAACACGGACTCGATAAGAGCTGATAGCGTGTCGAGCACATAAACACTCCTCGGAAGTTCTTGCATGCCCAACAAAGAAGTTTGATATAGCGGGAGCAAATCCCCAGTATATTCATCTTCATTGAACACGTGGAATTCATCCGATATCCAAAGGCTGATGCCTTCTTGAAGCGTCTCCAAAAGATTCAGTCGAAGTTCCACAGGGCACGCATCAACTACGCGGATCAGTGATCGTATCATCCAGATCGACGTCACTTTGTTCCGAGGCTCGGGCGGGTATGTAGACTGCAGCGTGTCGTTGACAAAGTCGAAGATGTATGAGGGAAGCTGGCGGGCGTCAGCCATGTCAAGGTGCGTGAGCAGTAGATCAGCAACGCGAGTCGACGATGCATAGGCGGGGCATGGGTTTTCGGAGACGATCTCTGCAACACGATCGAGCACAGTGGAAGCATCGATACCGTAATCGAGGGCTTTATTGACAGCATGCTGCAAAAAGTTATCCCAGGTGTCGAATTCGTCATTAGTCATATCCCATGCGCTTGATTTCCTGCAAAAAGGTCAGATCTTCTAAAAGACAGAAGACAATGAGGATGCATACCCGAAAGGAACACCGAGTAACGAGGCGGCTCCTTCCCAAGACCCCTCGGCGTCCTCGGTCCACTTCTCAACGAAGCAGCCCCACACGAGGCTCTGAACTCCTGGCTCATAGGACATCATAGCCATAGCCCGCGATCTCTTTGCCCAGAATTCTCGCAAATCATCCAATTCGCAGACGACTAAAACTTCTGCGCAGAGGTAGGCCCATTGTTTCCTAGCATCATCCGGAGAATCCGTTTCCCAGACGAGGTCGGCTTCGTCCTCCATCAAACACGCAAGGAGCCTCGCACCAGCAGAATGAAGCACATTATTGGGGAAAGTGGTTCGTACCACGGTCCATAAGTCTCTGGTTACAACGAGCTTGAGAGCGGTATTGGACCGAGACAGTATCGAGGTTCGCCTGGGGGTAACTCTGACTCCGCCAATAGGACTACTGGCTTGCTGAGATGGTGGAGGTCCAAACTTGGCGGAAAGGTCGAGCTTAGGATCACGAAGAATGTCTACGAGTATGGCGGCGGCTTTGGACGCGAAGTCAATAGCTCCATGGTCATCGTTGTCATCTAAAGCCAACATAAACATCAAACGAATGAATCGCCGGCCAATGCTTACCTTGCAAGACTGCCACGTTGGCCTTCAGCAGGCCTTCCCAAATTGACAAGACATCGCCCTATGTTAGATGTCAGTCGTGCAAACAAAAACCAGGCGTACAACTGACCGGTGTTCCACTATCCTCTGGCAGCTCAAGGCACCCAAGTCCAGATCTCCAGATTTCAATGAGGTCGTCAAATACCCAACTGCAAGATAGCTCGTCTCTCGTCAGGGATCGAACATCGCTCATCTGAGGACATTCCTCCAATATTGGCCTCACGGCGGTAGCCAAAGTCTTGTATTCCGCTGTAAGAAGCCCCGGATTTGATGAGAAAAGGGAATGCGGAAGGAGCTTGTTCATGGCCCAATTCTCTCCGGTGTTTTCGAAGCTCACTAAGATCCTCGCAATCTCCATTCCGTCGCCACAGGTTTGACCGCCCTTTTTGATCATGGCTTTGACTAGGGTCAGGGTCTTCCGCAGGCGATCCTCATCTCCAGAATCATCGCCCAAAAGAGCGGCTACCGTTGAGACACCGGCACCCATGTCGGTAATGGACTTGAGAAGTTTCCAGTAGTTCTCGCGAAGAAGTTCGACATCCTTGTCATTCATATCTTGGACGTTATCCTCATGAGTGGAGGATGGGGGTGGACGGAAATAGGACCAAGCGACACAACGCCACGTAACACAAGCAAGTCCTCGTACTGAGCTCTTCTTATTGCGCACGGCGAGTTGTAGCAGCGCCGAGATTATACGCGTCAATCGAACGTCCAGGTACACTGCTGGCCCCAACAAAACGATGAAGCTGGCGATGACGCTGAGGGCCCAGACAGGTCCTTGGGCTGCATGTTGGGGCTCCAACGCGTTCAACGTCGTGCGCAGTGTACGAACAATTATCGGGTCTAGCGATGGCTTCGTTGGCGTCTTACGTGGAGAAGGGGATCGTTGAGTCGTTGTAAGGAAAGTAGCTACTGCTTTGGAGATACGGACGTGCAATGACGATTGCGGAATAGAGACGCAAGCTAGGACGAAACCACCGAGCGCGTGACAAGCCTGAGTGCGGAGAAGTAAAGTCGGCGCGAGCAAGTTCGCCAGTATAGATGGAAGCAACTCTGTGAATGCAGGCACGAAAGTCGAGGGTTGATACACAGAAAGATCATGAATAGCCTGAAGCACAAGGTAAGCACCGAACTGAGGCCAGAATGACATTGTTAACCTTTAGGCCGTCGCAGGCAGATCCTTTTTTGCCTTCTTTGCCTAGTTCACCCTCCATACCTCGGCGCAGAGCAAAAGCAATTCTGTCTTTCGCTGGTACGAGGACTTCCTCTGGTAGGCGCTGAACTTGCAGAAGCCATATTGACAGTGCACACGTTTTCCGGGCGTTAGGAGTCGGAAGCACATCAGCCATGGGAATAGACAAGACAGCTGTCAACATTTCGCCCAATTGCGCGTCTTGCAAAATGTCAGACTACATGCTTCAGAATGCTATAGAAACGCACCTGTGAAGATACGGTAGACAGCAGGAAGGGTGAAGACCGATCCAAGCAACCTCATTACGCCGTGCGAGGTAGTGCAGAGGTCGCGCGCGTATTTTGCCTGCCCAGCTGACATACCGCGTTTTTTCTTACTAGGACTCTTTTTCGGAGAAGGTAGGAGCGAGGGAAGTTCTTCCTCTTCCTCATGAGCAAATGGAAAATCTTCGCTTTCGCTTTCAAGCTCAGGAGACTTCGGTTCCACAAGCGCTTTTCCGAGGTCACGACACACCGCGTCAGTGAATAGCTGCGTATTCTTACGAAGCGGCTGAAACAGAGGCCAGGAAGCGTCCGCGTCGGTTGTGCCTGCCACTGCTGACCTAATGCGGGCAGCGAGGACGGCATAGGCATCGATGAGGTCGGTGAAGGAGGTTTCCGACTCAAGAATTTGGGAGATGGGTCGCGTAAGATACGACAGGTTTACAAGCGGGTCTTCTGGTTCTGGAGTTGCCTCTCGTTGTCCCTGCTCTGAAACGGTAAGGAGCTTTGGAATTGATCTCTTGAGGATAGACTTTGTAGGACACTGGCGTGAGGCGGTTGGTGGCAAGGGAACTTGACCCTTTGGACTTGTAAGAATATGGTATTGGTTCTGTTGAGTCCAGGCGACACGAGAGCCAGGAAAGCTAGTTGTTTCCTTGTCTCTATGAGACGTAGCAGGTGGTGTAGGCAGACTAGTTAAGACTGCCATGTCGATAGTGGTTACTACGACGTTAGTTGAAGGTGGCAGATGATGGTGAAGGTCAACGTAGTGGTCTGCATCCGAAAACTAAGCGCGACCCAAATATTAAAATAATTGCAATTAAACGCGCCAATTTACGCGTCGCGTGCAGTATTTGCACCTATTTGGCATTGTGTCCATGGGAAACACTGTGGCCTGGCCTAAACCCAAAGGTCATACAAGTCTTGACTGCCTCGAAACCGAACGACAGAGGGGCTCTCCCGCTTGTGGCAGCAGCTGCATACAACTATCTCCACTAGCCTGGCAGATACATTTGGAGAAGGCACCACGCGTTTTCAACGTTGTTCGTCACTCAAAGCAAGACAATATATTTACAGACGCCGCCTTGCGAATTTTAGTCAGAAGCTGAGACCAGCTTGCAAACCGGTCTAGTTCACAGCGGACGATAATAGCGGAATTGGGGATGCTAGACCGAAACATCATGGAGGCGGGTACATCAGCCCAGTACCTTGCCCATGGTGCGCAGGTAACACGAGAAAGTGGTAATGGCTTATCCAGATGACGTGATAACACGAGGCAGAAGAATTCAGATAAGGATTACCATTCATCGACTCTCACAATCAGTTGGAGGATTGCTGCAAGAACCTCCGCTGACATTCATAGCGGAAGAAGGTGCGAGCAACGAGCCAATAAGTGTATTGATGATAATTTACGAGATTTGTGCTTCATTTAGTCCGATGGAAACCTGCGGCTTCCGATGACCCCACGAATGAAAGGCTTGTAAAAGTTCAAGGTACCGATAAGTACTAAATAGCTGTACTGGTAAAGCTTCTGCAGCCCCCCCTCTTCCGATCACGCATACGCATTGATGTAACGGCTGATTGTGACTCTGAAATGAGAGCATGAAGTCATTGTCTTAGGCACATCGTGATGCTTAAGCCGCTGTCACACCGAGAGCGCTTCCAAATAATTAACACCTCGAAGTTACCTCGAAGTTCGTGCAATGCAAATATCTCAAAGTTGAATTGCCGCGTGCGCGCTGCAGCACAGAAGATCTGACAACGAGCCGAACTAGAGAGAACCGAGTCTTGATTCAAGATCGACTATCCGCCGGCAACGCACCAGTCAGGCTTCTTACGTTTCTTACCACAAGTGTCACGCGGCTACTATCCAGTGAGTACAAATACCAGCTCATCCAACTTTCTAAAGACCCATCGAGCAGCTTCTCTGTTGTACGACTACCAACTTACGATCACTCTGTTAAACTCTTCAATACTCATCATGATCTCATTCACAACTTTCATCCTTACTCTCTTGGCTCTCTTCAGCCTCTCCCTCTCTGCTCCTATGCGCAGGGATGTTTTCGTCCCTCCGATCATTTACCCAAAAGCTGGCGTGGTCTGGATAGCTGGTCATCATCACAATGTTACCTGGTCAGTGCTTCTTCTTTCTCGTCTTCGCTTGTCATCAATCTCATAATCACCGGATGCAGGGAGACCGATGATGCACCCGTAAGCATCACCAACGGGATCGGCAGGGTATATCTAGCCAACAACACCATCATTGATCTGGGTAAGCTTCCCATCTTCCCATTTCATATCCGACTCGGGCTGAGCAAATGTCTCAGACCATCCTTTGGCAATCGGCTTCGACATCTTGGATGGTCGTGTTTCCATTCAAGTACCGTCTGTGCCTACAGGTCAGAATTACTCGCTTGTCCGTAAGTTCATATTCCATCCTAGATCGGTGCGCACAAGCTAATCAACATCACTCGCAGTTTTCGGTGACTCGGGTAATTACAGCCCACAATTCACCATCATCGGCCTTTAATCGGTACCCTACCACGTCCTGCCTAATGATGCGATGAACAAGTAATGTCAATGTTGAACGGAGGGCGCGCAGGTGTAATCGTGCTCCCTGTAGTGAAATTTAATGCGACGGACTATGTAATAGTTATGCACTCGGATCTTACTGGACGATTTGTAGTTTAGTGGCGACAAAGTTGCTTCGAATATGACCATCTGTGATGGTTGTACTTCTTCGGAGCGTTCATCAGGATCATGATGCGTGTTCAGTTTGCCGGCGGAAGCATTTGAACTTTGAAGGCGATACGTGGTGGAGCGTCCGGGTCTAGCCTTTTTTTTGTTTAGTCACCACGCTAACAAGTTTTTTTCTTCATTGAAATTCGACTTCAAAGAGAACCTCTGCTTATACGTATGGCATATGCAGATGGCTCATTTCTAAGTCATCCAACACCATATATATGCATCAACATTGGTCTATCAAATACCCAGGTATGTCGAAGGTTCAAATATCCATAGACTATGTATAATTAATGGAGAAATCCAAACGTGAAACTCTAAAAATACAGTTGAATCACTGATGAGATTTACATAATGGCATCGCTCGCGCGCACTGAGGCCGACGTTTAACGTTAAAAACGTTCATCATGATTGAAGACCGATGGTCCTATTACTCGAGGAGACTTGGACTAGCGGTAATGAAGTGTGATTGAGGTATGCACTCGCACCGTAACTTGAAGTGTGTAAACTGAGCTCGATAGACAAAAGGAGATATGACTCCACTCACGCATACCAAGTGTCACGTCGGTGTTATATCAGTTGTCCAAACCTCTGTCTACGCTTGATTTAACACTCAAAGCCCTAATCATCGCGAATCTCAAGTAAGCGTATGTCCTGGTTATCAGTGACGTCGGAATCATCTCTGCAATCCAATGCTTCTTCCAACTTTCAGGTATTTTAGTCATGGTCAGAATGATCTAGTGTGAGATGAGTGGTGGTTCCAGCGAGGCGTTGTTTGGGGTCATCGCGCCCCGTAACCGTACAGGACAGAATGTATATCATTTCCCTGGCTTCGAGGGATCTCATGACGGAGACAAGTGGTTACTGCTACACCAAATTTCGCCATGTGAAAACTACCAAGGGGACTGAGTCTAGGTGCATTACTCTCGCCTCGAACGATCCTTTTTCGGAAAGGTTACCATCCAAAGCGCCGTCAAAGAAAAAATACAAGGCTTTGAAGGAGGTGCTGTAGAAGAAAGGCCCGGTACAAAGGTTCTTGAAACAAAACGTTAGTGACTATGCACGTCGCCAATGAAAACAACTAGTGTTTACTGCGAACTCAGTTTCGTCGCATTCGCGACCTGTGTCCAAGCCCTCAGGCCTCAAATCCCAGGGCGGGTGCATGCATCTTATTGCCATTATTCTGGACTCGAGCATGATCGTGAGTAGTTCGTAAGTGCGTCCATTCGATATTCAAATTTGACTATCAATCCAGTATTTATGCATATCAGTGCAATGTCAAACTACATCCATGACACCCAGTTTCTTTAAACTCCTGTAGATCGTCTGCAACCGGTCTCTAGAGCGCGGGAGATCAACGCGAAGAATGTCATTCCAGTGGATGTCCTTGTCAGGGCGTTGTTCGCCAGGGGCTTGGTAATTCGGATCCTTTGCAGAAATACGATGCATGGCCTTACGGACGTTGATTGGACGAATTGTAGCGCTACGCCAATATGGGCCTGTAATATGATAGTCATGACATGTACCGTAAATAGATGGTAATGAACAAATACCTGCAGCCGCAATGGCCAATACGGAATCCGTGTTCGGATTCTGGATAAATACGCATGCTGCCTGGTCGATCAGGTCACTGCAAGCTTCCAGGATCCGCGAAAGAATCTCCGTGGTTTGATTTTCACCTGCCAGACTCCTACTCACGAATCGCTTCACTTCAACGAGAAGTCCGACACTCGCTGCAGTAATCCTCCACCCTCCATAGCGAGTTTCCAACTCAGGCTGTGGCTGAGCCACTGCCTTAAGATGCAGAATCACAAAATCCACGTTGACCCCTTCAGCGTTCTTCTGCGGGACGGTTGATGCGAAAGAAATATCGCCCGCCGCTGCCTCAGCCGCTTCGTCGTCCTCGTCCTCGTTGTGGTTGTCTTGGTTTTCTGGAGCTTCCTTAGTAGGCTGTTCTTCAGGCGGCTGTATGATTTCCTCGGGATCATCACCATCATTTTCATCCTCGTCATCCTCGTCATCATCCGGCACAAACCAAACAGGGAACTAAGGCGCGAGGACTAAATTTGGGATGTCTGCCACTAGTTCATAGAGTATTTGATTCCACAGTGGATACCAATGAAATTCGATATTCCTAGAGTTGAGGGTGCGCGAGAACGCGAGAGAGGTCGCCAAAATGGCTTTGTATTGCACCACTGCATTATTTCTTGCCGCAGGAGGAATACGAGGGGGCATCGTGAATCAGTAGGTGACCACAGATGACTCGGAGTGGTGCAATGTGTTGCATGATATATATATACGTAGCACGGACTTCGGAATCGAATCCTTGCAGAGAACAATGCAAGGATGCCATTGTAAAAATTTCGAGCGACAGAAAACAAATGTGATTGCTCGAGCGCTCAGGAGTCAGCGGCGCTGTTTATCATTCTCATAGTGGTCATGACGATTCAATCATGATGTGGTGAGTATTCTCAACAGAGGGCATAGAAGTGTCGAGTTACGAACAGACGAAGGCCGATGAATCCGATGCATGAGGTACGAGCGCATGCTAAAGCGGAAACGGACGAGCGCGCGTTGACAGCGGCTCGTGCCCTCCCTTATTTTTCCTGTCTCTGATTAATATATGTTCCTACGCGTTTTACCTTATAGTTCGAGTCAGATACATAGACGCATCTCAGTCTTGTCCCAAGTACTGAGATGTGAGTACCATTAGTTGCACGACACGACGAACACGTAGCTAACGTTTCTCGTAGCGTTTTCGTTATTAGGTACATATACCAAATATACAAAGAGTCTTGTCCCAAGTACTGAGATCGTTTTCGTTATTAGCTCCATCTGAACTCGTCCGCTCGCACCTGAAAACAACAGGTTATGAGCCCTGAACCGGCAATGGACACCACGCTCCCCACCACCAATTCGAACCTATTCAACATACCAAAGTTAGCCGAGGACGGCACTAATTGGATAACCTACAAGGAACGCATGTTGACGGCAATTGGCGCGCGAGGTCTGATGCGTTATGTGGACGGCCGGGCAATCAAACCGATACCTTTCAAGGTAGATGCGACCACGGGCGCAGTGAGGAAATCGGATGGCTCGACTCCTACGCAAACGGAGATAGAGGAGGTCGATGAGAAGCTAGATGAATTCTACCAGAAAGACTCACTTGTTAGGCAGCACGTCTTCAGCACAATAACTGATAGGATGCTGCTACGAGTCCAGAAGCTCGACAGCGCGTCGAGCATATGGACCGAAATCTGTCAAATCCACGAAGGAAAGACGGAATTAGTGCAGGTAGACCTACGAAGACGCCTGCAGGACTTACGCTGCGAGGAGAACGGCGACGTCAAGGCGCATTTCGCCGAGCTCTTGAGGCTGCGAGAGTCCCTGGCCGGGATGGGAACGTCCATTGAAGATCGCGATTTCCATGCCATCCTTTTGGGCTCGTTGCCAGAGTCATATAGACCCATTCTGTCGTCCATCAGCGCTGCAGCCAGGATAACGCAGACACCACTCACGTCGAATGAACTCATCACAGTGATCAGTGAGGAGTACGAGCACCGTCTGTTGACGGATAAGCGTGGCTCCAAGAAGAGTGGAAATTCGGCTCTTGTAGCCAAGTCTGCTCCTGGGAGAGGTAAAAAGTCTGGGGGCACAAGCAAAGAGAATGCGGACGTTACCTGCTTCAATTGTGAGAGAAAAGGCCATTACAAAACGGACTGTTGGAGGCCTGGAGGCGGAAAAGAGGGCCAAGGGCCGAATCAACGTCAGAAGAGGCCTGGACGCACGCCAAAAGAGGGCGCCAACGCAGCTAATACATCCGAGGCAGACAGCGCGACCAACTACGCATTCGCTACGTCAGATCTAGCCACTGTTGCAAAGCAGTTTGACGTACCTGTTGCTCGTCGCAGCGCCATCGTTGATTCAGGCGCCACTTCTCACTTCTGCCCTGACAGAGCCAAATTTCTCGACTTCGTCGAGATAGAGCCACAGGATGTGCATACGGCCGATGGCTCAGTTATCAGTGCCGTAGGAAGAGGCAGTGTAAAGCTGGACTTACCCAATGGGAAAGAGCGAACGACTGTAACCCTCCAGAACGCTCTCTATGCCCCAAAAATGGCATTTACCCTTATATCGACTAATCGTATAACGGCAGGGGGTATGGCAGTCCATTTCGAGGACCGAATGTGCAGGATACTCTCCGCCGGGCCCAAACGCACTGTCATTGCGACCATTCCCCAAGTAGATGGCCTATACAGTGTGGCTGCACAGGCTAAGCATCATGCGAACCTGGCAGCAGGAAAACTCACCGTACATGCCGTCCATAAGGCCCTTGGCCACATATCACAGTCTGCAGTAAGGCACGCTGTCACGAAGGGACTTGTCAACGGTATCAACCTTGACGCCACGTCTGCCGAGGAATTCTGCGAGGCCTGTACGAAGGCAAAATCTGCCCATCAGCCGTTTGCGAAGGAAAGCACGAAACGTACGACGGCGTACGGGGAGTTGGTACATACCGATCTTTGGGGACCTGCCCAGACCATGAGTCTGTCCGGCTCCAGCTACTATATGAGCTTTACCGACGATTACTCCCGTGAGACCCAAGTGGCATTCCTGAGGCACAAAAGCGAGGCATTAGAAGCGTTCAAACAATACGAAGTGCGACTTACCACACAGAACGATGGACTTCGTATCAAAACCCTTCGGTCCGATCGAGGAGGCGAATACCTCAGTGCAGAGTTTGACGCCTACTTGAAGGAGCGTGGCATTACCCGGCAGCTGACGGTCCATGATTCCCTGCAGCAGAATGGTGTGGCTGAACGCCTGAACCGGACACTCGTGGAGCATGCACGTGCCATGTTGATTGCGCGGGACCTGCCGAAGTTCCTATGGGCAGAGTCAGTTGGTTACGCTGTGTGGCTAAAGAATAGGCTACCTTCCAGGTCCATACCGGGCCACACGCCATACACACTCGTCCATAATGAACGGCCCGATCTCTCATCTGCCCACGAATTTGGCAGCCGAGTCCTTGTCCATGTGGAGGGAGCTGGCAAGTTGGAGCCTAGGGCCGAAGAAGGCTTGTTTGTAGGGGTTGATGCCCAGAGTAAGGGCTATCGCATCTATTGGGAGGGTAAGAGGCGCGTTTCGGTTGAGCGTAATGTCACCTTCATACCTGAGTCGGTTGATGTCGCTAATGGAGTCCCGGTCGAGGGGGAGTCTAACCCTGTCGTCACAAAAGTCGTCACAAAAGGCAGCGCCCAGGACTCATCAGCAAATCAGTCACCTCCAAGAACCCACATACCGGCGCCCACCACCCCTCCAAGAACCCACAACCCGCCACCAGAACCTCCTGCAGCTCCACAGTCTACCAGAGTACGCCCACCGCCAGGTTATTATACCGCCCTCAATGAGGGGGAGCGCGCTAATCTTGCAGCCGAAATTCAAAAGCTGGAAGAAGAAGAGTCAGTACCGGCAGATGAGGAGGACATTACTCACCAGTACGCTATGGCTGCAGTGCACCCAGAGCCCTCGTTGCAGCAGGCGCTGAACGGTCAAGACGGTGCAGAATGGCAAGAGGCTATTGATTATGAAATCAGCCAATTGGAGAAACTCGGCACTTGGGAAGTTACCGACTTACCACGTGACGCGAACGTCATCCCATGTCACTACGTCCTCGCCACTAAACGCGGACCGGACGGCGAAAAGCTCAAACTCCGCGCACGCCTCGTTGCAAATGGGCAGCGACAACAATACGGCGTCGACTATTTTGAGATGTTTGCACCCACATGCAACATGGCCACCATCAGAACCGTCCTCGCTATGGCCGCGAAGCTCGACTGGGAAATCCATCAAGTGGATATCAAAAGTGCGTACTTATATGCGGATGTCCAGGAAGAGATTTACATGAGGGCGCCGCCTGGCTACTTGAGAAGAGGGCAGGAAGGAAAGGTTCTGAAGTTGAGGAGAAGTCTGCCGGGGTTAAAGCAAGCAGGGTTTGAGTGGGCGGAAGAACTGGCCGGTGTTTTCTCGAGAATTGGATTCAGTCGCTCGCAGGTTGACCAAGCTGTTTACTTTAAGCACACCCCGCAGGAACACACGGTCGTCACCGTATCCGTCGACGATATGGCAGTAACCTCCTCCCATACCTCACACATCCAGCATTTCAAATCCCAGCTTCGCGAGTTCTTTGAGATCACGGATCTTGGAGAATTGAACTGGCTATTAGGCTTGAAAGTCACTCGCGACCGATCAGGACGCACCATTTCCCTCTCGCAAAAAGCTTATATTGATACCATCCTAGAGCGCTTCTACCTCACTGACGCGAAATCCGCGCAAACGCCGATGGAACCTGGGACGGTACTGTCCTCAGACCAATGTCCTTCCACGCACACTGAGCTTCAAGCCATGTGCGATGTGCCTTACCAACGAGCTATTGGCTCAATCATGTATGCAGCCACCAGCACCCGCCCAGACATCTCCTTCGCTGTCGCTACCCTCTCGCAATTCATGCGAAACCCTGGCAAAGCTCATTGGGAAGCTGCAAAGCGTGTCATGCGCTACCTAAAAGCCACAGCCCACTTCGAACTCACCCTTGGCTCCACAGATGCTGGCCTCGAGGCGTTCGTAGATGCGGACTGGGCGTCCCAGCCTCATCGGCATTCAATGTCAGGATACGTCGTAATGTTGAATGGGGGCCCCGTTGCTTGGAGCGCACGTAAGCAGCCATTGATCGCTTTATCTACTGCCGAGGCAGAGTATATCGCGCTAACCACTGTCGCCCGAGAGCTACTATACCTACAGTACCTCACTGAAGAACTGTATGAGTCTCCAGGTCTCCCCACCCCCGTCTACTGCGATAACCAAGCCGCCATCGCTCTTGCTTCGAACGGGAAATTTCAATCTCGTACCAAACACATATCCATCCGGTATCACTTCATTCGTGCGCACATCAAGGATGGCACATTTGCATTGTTCTATTGCCCGACGGAGCACAACATTGCAGATGCCTTTACAAAGGCAATGCCTCGCCCTCGTTTACAGAACCTCCGGGGTCAGATGAGCTTAGCTTGCACTCGAGGGGGAGTGTCGAGTTACGAACAGACGAAGGCCGATGAATCCGATGCATGAGGTACGAGCGCATGCTAAAGCGGAAACGGACGAGCGCGCGTTGACAGCGGCTCGTGCCCTCCCTTATTTTTCCTGTCTCTGATTAATATATGTTCCTACGTGTTTTACCTTATAGTTCGAGTCAGATACATAGATAGGGATCTGCACGGGTACGGGTAACCCGCGCAGGTCACGGGTACGGGTACTACTGGGGTACGGGTACGGGTCGGGATTCTAAGACCCGCGCTCTTACCCGTACCCCAGCTATACCCGTGCCTTCCATAAATGGTAGCACCTCCTGCATCAGTAATAGCGGACGCCATACTTCCCGCGTGCACGCTACAACCGGCACCACCACCAACACCGGCACCTAACGCGCCTTCCCAAGTCCACCAACTCCACGTTCACAGCGCGCGCGCCCGAAACGCGTCAACAAGTGTTGACGCGATGCAAACACACGCGGACGACACGCGAAGACGAAAGGACAAGAGAATCGAGGAAGGGAGAAGGGATGGTATAGAGATGAAGGAGGAAAGAGGAACTCGAGGAGACGAGACTTTGGGCACGCTGAAAGTGAGTACTCACATTGAAGACTCTACCCCCAGCAACAACAACGACGTCATACGCATCACGTCGCCAGCGCCTATCTTTGTGCGCCCAGCACTCGCACCACCACCAGCTTTCACACCAACGCCACCATCCACGACACCAACGCCACCATCCACGATGCCGACGCCACCATCCTCGACCGTGCCTCCACTCCTCCTTCTTGTGCCATCCACATATGTTCGAGTCACGTCAGCATTCGCTGACGTGTGCTGGACATATGTGCTAAGCACTGGTGGTGATACCTATGGTACCCGCGGGTAAACCCTGCACGGGTGTGGGTACGGGTCTGAGCTTGTTGTACCCGCCGAAAACCCGTACCCGTCAGAGCGGGTACGGGTTTTTGCCGGGTGCGGGTGCGGGTCAGGTCCCCGACACCCCAGGGTATACCCGTGCGGATCCCTATACATAGACGCATCTCAGTCTTGTCCCAAGTACTGAGATGTGAGTACCATTAGTTGCACGACACGACGAACACGTAGCTAACGTTTCTCGTAGCGTTTTCGTTATTAGGTACATATACCAAATATACAAAGAGTCTTGTCCCAAGTACTGAGATCGTTTTCGTTATTAGCTCCATCTGAACTCGTCCGCTCGCACCTGAAAACAACAAGAAGATCGATCTGTGGCTCGAGAAACCAAAGGGGATAGGAACAATGGTGGAACACGCCGATGCGGTGATCGCTAATGTGTTGTTGTATCAGTTGTTCGCCACAGTCCACAGGCTTGCGCGGCATTGTCTGTTTGGAAGCACGTGCCTTGTCACATGACAGCCTATATAAAAGGGCTTGGTTCAAGTTGCTGCTCAGTGTTAATTATCGCGAATCCAAGGCAAGTAAATACAGTCATATCGGAACCACCTTTGCAAGCTAACGCTTCTTCATCAGGGGTCGTAGTTATGGTCAAATACTGTGGATACCTAGTGCGAAATGAGTGGATGTACCAGCGAGGCGTTGATTTGGGGTTTCCCCGCCCCGTGACCGCGGCAGAAAAGTCGGATATGATTCTCCTGATCTCGAGGGATCTCATGACGGAGACAGGCGTTTCCCGCTGTGCCAAACTGCGTCATGTGAAAACCGCCAAAGGTATCGGGTTTTGGTGTATCGCTTTCGCCTCGAACAATACCCTCTCAGAAAGGCTACCTGCCACTGCGCCATCGGAGGAAAAATACAAGGCTTTGAAGGAGGTGCTGCAGAAGAAAGGCCCGCCTCGTTGGTACAAAGGTTCATGAACCAAAACGTAAGTGACTACGCATATTGCCAATGAAAGCAACTAATGTTTGTTGTATAGCCACAGTCTTGTCTCGTGCCGCATATATACCGTTCAAGCCATCGAATTTCAGGACGGGTGGCACATGTAATTTGTTATTCTTTTATCGGTCTCGGGAATGGAGGGCACACAGGATGCCGAAGCCCCTCTTTTCTGTACCAGAGTAATCCCTTTTTATATATCCTGTACTGAGTTGAACCTGCACGGTGTACTGGACGTGTGCGCATTTCTACTCAAACTGACATGGCCACCGGATGATTAGTTCCAGATGTTATCGACATGGTTCTGCAGCTTTCTGCTGAAGAGGGCTCTTCCTCCACTTAACGTGTGAATACTGACTGAGTGTGATTCTCGATGCTCAGACTAATCGGTTGAAATGAGTCTAATGACCAACTAGCTTGATGTCGATTCAGTCGGGCAAGTGTACAAAGGACCACCACTACTCTCTCATACGCGTGTTGTCTTGTTGCACGTGCTTTGTCACATGATCATAATGCACCAGTACTTGATCTCCACCACTCGCAGTCTCTCGCACCTAGCGTTCGAGATTGCAACTTGACGAAGTGACTGCTCTAGGAAGAACTCACTGTGATGAAGTTATCTTCGAGCTATCATGATGCAGTAACCAGTTGCAGAATGATCCGTGACTCGGGGATAAGTGGGTGGTCGCCCATGCAAGCTACCCTCTCTGGAAATGCAGAACATGAGAAAAGAGGGGTTGTGGAGGGGTGGGACCCTTGTTTGCGTAACCTTGGGTGCCAAAACAGCTCCTGATCCACAAGATGAATTTTGCTGGAGTCAAAGGCCGGAATTCGGGACATGGTCCAATGCAGCTGCGATAAATGAGTACTTGTCCTGTTTCAACGTGCTTATATCACCGCGCGCGGCTGGTTCCCTTTTCGATAGTTTTATTTTGAATGTGTTGGTTTGCTTGATGCTCCCGAGGCAGATTGCTTTTGCAATGACATATGCAGTACCAGCTCTCAGAAGACAAAATGATTTTTTTGAATCTAAAAGTCATATATGCTTAGGTCTGTACGATGCCTGGGGTGTCCGGCAATACATGTTCGTCTGTGCTGGTACTGCAAAGATTACCAAATATAGCATACCCCTAGGGGGGACAGGAGGGGACGGGTACCCACCCATGTGTAGACTGGTGACCAGCCCATGTGTTGTTTTTATTGTTCAGCCAGTTGTACTTACCACCGCCGACTGCGTTTTACTTATCCACGCTTGATCAAATACCCCAACTACCGCGAGTCTAATGCAAGTGCATGGAGTAGCCTTGGAACGGTCTACAACCCGATGCTTCCTCAAAGCCTCAGACATTGTAGATATCTAGTGCGAGATCTCTAGCAAGGCGTCGAGTTGGATTGGCCGCGCCCCGTGACTGTGAAAGATAGAATATATATTATTTCCCTGACTTCGAAGGATCTCACGACGGAGACAGGCAAATTTCTTCATGTGAAAAACACCAAAGGGACCGAGTCTTGGTGCATCGCTTTCGCCTCGTTGGTACAAAGGTGCTTGAAACAAACGTCAGTGACCATGCACATCGCCAATGAAAACAGCTAATATTTACGGCGAAGCCACGGTCTCGTCCCTGCGTATCCCAGGGTGGGTGGCATATTGGCACATGCAATTACTTTCTTGCCGTCATTACAGATATGATCGTGAGTAGTTCATAAACGTGCCCATCACAATTTAGGACTGGCCTCAGATATCAACAAACCGGAAGCGTGAGCAGCTGCATGCGGTTTCTAGATAGTGACAGGGCAACGAGGTGAAATCCTATAGTGTAGGGAAAAATAGGGGCAAGCAGGGTCGTGATGCCCACGCGACCCTTTACTAGTGCGCTGAGTCCGAGTAAGACTGAATGTTGTGATTAGGTTCACTAGTAAAGGGACTGTCGACCAAATCTCCGACCAGTGATGGCATCAGCTCACTTTTTTTAATAAGCAACTTACATAAACTCCACTGTGAACACACGACGGATCAATATTCTGGCCGTCCAGTCATCCACGTCACGCAGTACACGTGGTCGGCAAAAAGGGGAGCGAGCTGTAACGATGCTGTCAGTAGTAGCATGGGGCTATGGAATGGGTTGTAGCCTGTTGCGTCTTGTCCGAGATTGGCCCAGCATTTGAATTCATACCCACACGAATAGGGGCGAGGGCGCTCTATCACCCCTCCCGGAGCGCTTAACATTCAACGTTGGCCACTCCCGTATCGAGCGAAGTAGTGATACAAAGTTCACAAAATTATGTTGAGACTCCTCGTGAGACTGTCCGTGCCCTCGGTAATGAGTTCTTGGAAGCCAAAGGAAGCATTAAGCACATACACATGAGGAACCCAGCGATTGAAATACATCTGCGTGCTACATTTGAATGCGTCCAAGTCAAGTCCAAGTCAACATTGTCGAAGCACTGAGTATTTCAAGGCTCACACAATGATTTGAAAATATTCAAAGATCATCACGCCAGCATGCCATAGCTATCGTGACATAGAGTTAGTCTCGTTAGTTGCTGTAATCTCGATAACACCCATCCAAGTCTCAAACAATACAAAGGCTTGAAATGTATCGCAGTCTCTTCATATTGAATAAATCCAACGCTATACACCGCATGTTCATCAAATTGACACATATACTTGATGGAGAAATCAGCGAATCGCTTAATACAAGTCATGCAGGTACCGTACCGCCTTTGAATGGCCGAGTCGTGTCAAATATCTGAAATGCACGACCTACACCATCCGTATGTTGGGTCCAGCCTGGTGGAAGGTACTGCGATAAAGACCAAATGGTATCAGTGTCCGACCGAGCCATCCACTTGGTCCGATGAATTCACATTCCTTTCCTATATCAGGAGATGAGATATTTGGCGATATGATATCGTTGCAGAAAAACATGAACAGTTCGCGGAACTCAGTGGAGTACTATACCATAGGTTCCACTAAGCTCTTCAAAGTTCAAACAAGTTCAAGACTGAGTGTGGCTGTGCACTATCGCAAAATCCCTGCAACGTCCGACTCCCGACTTCCCCCCAGCCACAGTTGCAAGGATAACCCTAGACATGCCTCACAAGAATGGATTACCGACAAACCTCCAATACCGCACCAAACCACTAAAATCAGCCCTACGGCGCACGCAACAAAAGTTCGTTCATCATGATGGACTTACAGAAGACGAGCACCAGCACCATCATCCAGTCTCTGAGTCTGAAGCGGGACCTGAGTTAGATGGCAGCTCGGAGAGCGTTTCTGACGAGAGTGCCGATGATGCCCAGGGCAATGAGGATGACGACGACGTGGATGCGCCTCGGGTGGTACAATGGGCGGATGTGGTAGATGAAAACAGCGCGGGACTCTCAGAAGAGGAAACAGACGACGAGAACACTAATGCTATTCCCGGGAAACCCTCCCGAGATCTGGTTCGCTCTCATTTTGCTTTCGTGTTGTGCAGACTTACTGATTGCGCTCATTACTCCGAAGCGGTCTCTCGAGGATGGTGCGTACGAGTTTCATTCCATATCTACAAGTACCTGCACTCGTCGATATGCAATTGACTAATCCTAGTTATATTTTAATTCTGTCTCTAGATCTGTCTTCTCTGCCTCTAGGAATGCTGCGCAAGGCCCAGCGCACCCTCTCCCAATCCCGTGCTCTAAGCGATTCCGAATCGGAGTCCGAGTCTGACGCACCATCGGAAGAAGACGCATGTCCAACCGACGACGAACGCCCACGATTAACTACGGCCAAAGACAAAGACAAAGACAAAGACAAAGAACCCCTAGATAAACCCTCAAAACCGCGTAAAGACCTCGCCAAAAGATCTAGCAAGCATGCGTAAGCACCCTCCCATCACCCACACACTCATCTCACCCCGCACAGCCCTACCGAAATAACCTCTAAACGCCCCGTCACCCGTCGACGAACAGTCATCGAATCCAAAGCACCCATACCCCGAGACCCCCGTTTCCTGCACATAACAGGCACCTATGACCCCCAAAAGTTCAAATCTCATTATACATTCCTCTCCACGCTCCACACCTCTGAACTCAGCACCCTCCGCTCTAACCTTAGCCTCGCGCGAAAGCTGCTCTTAAACTCCCCAAAAGAACTGCGCGCAGCACGAGAGCGGGAAGTTGGAAGACTGGAGCTTGCGGTGAAGAGGGCTGAGAGTAGTGTCAATAGGGACAAGAGGGAGAAAGTGGAGATGGAGGCGCTGGATAGGGTTGGGAGGGAGGAGAGGGAGAAGAGGAAGAAGGGGAAGGCGGGGTGGTGGATGAAGTCAGGTAAGCTTCTTTCATTTCCTTTCTTTGTTTTCGTCTTCGTCTTCGCCTACTGATGCTGATCAAATCACCTTGCATCCAGCCGAGAAAAAAGAATTGCTGATGAAAGCTCGATACGACGCCATCGCATCAAGTGGAGGAAAGCGCGCAGTAAAGAAAGCGATAGAAAAGAAGCAGAAGAAACAGAGTCAGAAGGAGAAGAAATCGCGTCCGTTTCCGGCTCCAGGTCGCACCCACTCGAACCCCAAGGACGCCAGCATCAGCACTGGTTCTAACAACATCAGCATCGGAAGTGGAAGTGGACAGAAGCGCACACGATCTACTCTAGACGAAGAAAGAACCCAGCCCTCGAAGAAACGCAGGAAATTCTGAATCCAAATCTATCGTATTAATCTAATCAAAAAGCACATCATTGTCATTGTCATTGATTCGATCCATTAGATCCTCGAAATGATGGGATACAATGGGGGATGGATGGGGGTATTATCCACTGCTAATTGGTAAGGTAATGCCACAGCGGTCGTCCTCGTCCTTTCGTCAATTTCGTCAGAGGTATCAATCATGTACGTAGGTTTTTTGAACCCAAATGCTCGTCAAGAATGAAAAAAAAGAAATGTGGAAAGAAACCGGAGGATGATGGGTGGGAACCGAACAATGATGGTGGTGGAGGTATGTATGTATAATGTACAACAGACTAGCTACAGGATTCTAAATCAGAAAAAACAGACGTGGAAAATTCCTCCTGTTCATACAACGGAAGATACACCCCCAGATGGATATGAGCCAACCTCGAGAGTCGTTCAGAGAGTAAGCGAATCTCATCTGCGAGAGGCTCCATGCCCGAGGATAACGCAGAAGGAGGGGCGAGGGATGTAAAGTTTGATGACTTGCCTAGACTCGTCGTGCTCGTGCTCGTGCCAGAATGGCGTGAAGAAGCAGAAGGAAAAGTGAGCGCCACGACTTGATTAAATACAACATCGCGGATCCTCTTGCGCAGCAGCGTGCTCAGCGGCGAGTTGGGACGCATGTTCGTGTCGGACCAGCGCTCGGCTAGCTTGAGCATGCGTTCGTCTGGTGCGGAAGCGAGGACCCTCGATTGAGGTTGAGAATCCGACCCTGGTTCTGATGCTGATTCTGGGTTCCGTGGCCGTGGAGAACTCGACAAAAGTGTAGAAGGGGAACGAGCCTCTTTCGCGCGCATAGCGATCTGCAAAACAATATCCTCTCTGACCTTTGCCCATCTCTCACTATCACTATCTCCCTTCACCTGCGCAAAACAATGTCCAAGATGCCCCGAAGAAATATCTCGGATTTCCTTTTTAAGCGAAGCGAGATGGGCATCTGTCACAACCACCCTGGAACTCGGATCGCCACAAGCATTGGAGTCAGGATCGCTAAACGCCAGCTGCCGAAACAAAAGAAGGAACATGTACATAGCAGTAGCGTCCGCTGCTTCGCCAGATAACACCAAGAGACGTGCACCGTCCAAATACGTGGTTTCGGGGTATAAAGGGAGATATGGTATGCTCGATTTCGACACGCGTTCGCGTTGGAGAGAGTGAGAATGCGGAACGGGCGTGGGGGATGGGCCACAAGGTGGCTCAAAAACGAGGTCCGTGAGCGCTCTGAGCACGCTCAGGTATATTTGTTGCGTTTGTGGGAGTTGGCGATAATTTAGAGTTATGGTGTTGGAAGGGTGGGACGGATGGGGAAGTGAGAGTGGGATTGGGTGGGACGAGGACATGAGGTGGTGGTATGCCGTTCGTATCCATTTCCGGGTGAGGTCGAGTGAGGCACCTGCCCCCTTTCGGCCTTTGAACGCCTTGAGCTCGTATTGACCCGCGGTTTCTATGAGGAATGGGCGGAGGGTTTGTAATTGATGGTTCGCAATATCCTAAAGCAGAAGGTCTTCAGGACAGGGAAGAAAAATGTTTGGGAGAGACTTGCCAGTTTCATGAGTTCCAATATATCGAGGCACATGCGAACCGCCTTGACCGCGTCCGCTTTACTGCCACCGCAGCCTGGGGCGCAAGCTTTGGCTGCTTCAACCATAGCGTCCACGAGACGATCGCGCATGGGGGCACAGTGGCTTTTAAGAGTCTGGCCAATGACGATGAAAAGTCCTGATGGATCGAAGAGTTGGTGGTGAAGCTCTTGCTGAATAAGCTCCGGATCAAATAGTGATCTGAGATGAGCGGCCTGAGCTGCGTGTTGCTCGATTTGCGTCTGGAGAGTTGCAGGATTGGCGTAGGTGCCGCACATGCTTGTAAGGGGTTGTATGACAAAGAGTAATACTTCAAGAAATTCTGTGAGAAGGTGACGGATGCGGGAGGGCATGCGGAGTGTGAGTGCTCGGAGAGGGGAGCAGTAGGTGAGGCTGGGTACTTGTGGTATAGGGCCTTGGGCGCAAACGCAGAGGAGGTCGTGGGGTTTCCACTGAAGATCAAAGGAAACGCAGGTGCAGCCTGTTTGGAGTTCTTGTGCAATAGCGGACCAATATTTATCGGATAGATCGCGTTTACGTCGACCAGATGTAGGACGAAACTGGAGACCAGCGTCAAAGAGAAGATCATGTCCTGTTGAATATATTAGATGTATGATAAGTTAAATTGATAATAAAAACTGACGAAGTTGGGGATTACGGAGGATAGAATCAAGATCAAGTTCTTTGAGTGTCTGTCTGTTGATGAGGGGGTGCATTGCGGGGATATGAGGAGATGATAAGTCGACTGGAGGGTGTACGGGTAGCGGAGAACAATCGATAGCAGTACAGTGAGGGTCTAGATGATTAGGGCGTGATTCCGTTTTTCTGAAAGAAGTTCGCCAGGGAGTAAGAGGTGATGAAGGAGTCTTAATAGCTGAACGCCTATGAGATTTAAAAGATTGTAGATTGTGGGTATCGACTCTTGGGCGCTTGTTAGCCCTCGTCTCTGTGAGTGTCGGTATGGGAGAATTGGGTTCTGATGGCCATACAGCACGTGCAGCTTGGTCTGTCGATATTGAAGGTGGTGGTTGACGAGGAGCATAAGTTGGGTCGAGTATCATGATACTAGAAGTACCAGTATCGTCATTTGCATTGGATTTTGAATCTGATATCTGTTCATCCTCGTTGTCGTTCTTGAGTTTTCGTTTTCTACAGTTGAGTTGATGACCGGCGAAATCGCTCATGCTGGTGGTTCGAGATAAAAAGGGAGTCGACTAGTGAAAAATGATGGGTTTCGTTATAAAGGCAACTCAGGGCGAACACATGTAACTGCCATATGCTACTTACCTGACGTACACCGCGAAGCTTGGCCAGCTGTATACCACGCTGTCTAGTTTGTAGGGAGATCCTAGGCTACACATGTATCTCTTAAATTATCAACCACAACCAAGATATTTCCAAGTACACGCTAGCTCACTCCATGATCGAACCCGGAAAAAACTCGTGCTATCAACGTTGATAATTCCGCACACCACGGATATATTTCATGCCTCGTTCCAATCACAACTTGACTTTGTTTCTAGTTCGGAGCGCATGGAGATTCACCCATATCACTGGCAGTCATCGCTACATATCAATTAATCTCTCCTCCTCCTCTTCCTCACTAGCCTTCTTCGTGGCTTTCCTCCCGTAAAACTCGGCGATAATCTTCGGATTTATACGGTTAAGCTGTTCTTTCGGGAAAATCCGAAGCAGCGACCAAGCCAAGTCGAGCGAATCAAAGATAGTACGAGACTCGTAGGGTCCTGCATAGCCTTCAGAAAAATTCACCACGCCCCTTGGCAAATTCACCCACCTTGTCCGACAAATTGACGCTCAAACTTGTCCAAGAATTCCAGTGCAAGCTTATCCTCAGCCGACAGTGCCTCCTCGCCAACAACAGCCTTCATCGCAGCTGCATCGCGACCGATCGCGTATTTCGCATACTACACCAATTCAAAAGGAAGTCAGATCGTCACTTCGGCTAATATGAAGGCACCCACCAATTGGTTTGAAACGTCACCATGATCCTTCCTCGTAAGCTTCTCGCCAATCGCGCTCTTCATAAGGCGTGATAGAGATGGTAACACATTGATGGGCGGGTATATCTGCCTGTTGTGCAATTGCCGGTCCACAAAAATCTGCCCCTCCGTGATATACCCAGTCAAATCGGGAATAGGATGTGTGATGTCTGACATCGGATCAGCGCTTGAACATTGAAAGAAAAAGTCGGTATGACGTCACCATCGTTCGGCATCGTTAGAATGGGAATTTGAGTAATAGAACCATTCCGACCTTGCACTCGCCCAGCCCGTTCGTAAATTGTCGACAAGTCTGTGTACATGTAACCGGGGTAGCCACGACGCCCAGGCACTTCTTCCCGAGCCGCAGAAACCTGCACATGAACCGCACCGCGAACGGTAAGCCTCTTTCCAGAAAGTCTCGACAGAAACGAAGAACGCACCTCACGCAAGGCATCCGCATAAGACGACATGTCAGTCAAGATGACCAACACGTGTTTCTCCAGCTGGTATGCATAGTATTCTGCCGTAGTGAGCGCAAGACGAGGCGTAATAATACGCTCGATGGTGGGGTCGTTGGCAAGATTAAGGAACAACGTCACGCGATCGAGACTACCGTTTGACTCAAAGTCTTCTTTGAAGAACCGTGCGGTTTCCATGTTGACACCCATTGCTGCGAACACGACAGAGAAATTGTCTTCATGTCCATCATGGACGTCTTTGGTGGGACCTTTCACCAGACCGGCTTGACGTACGATCTGCGCTGCGATCTGCGCATTTCGGTTAGCTCCCTTGACGGCTTTTTTTAATTCTTAGTAGACTTCATATGTACCTCATTGTGTGGTAAACCGGCAGCAGAGAATATAGGAATCTTTTGTCCACGAGCGATTGAATTCATCGTATCAATCGTCGAAATCCCGGTCTGGATCATTTCCTCAGGATAGATGCGCGAGTAAGGATTGATTGGGTATCCTGCTCCACTGTTCAACCAAGAGCCGGCCAAATCTTCACAAGACCCACGCACCATTAATGTCCAAGTAATCCTCAGCAAACACTTTTGGACCCTGATCAATGGGATTTCCAGAACCGTTGAAAATACGGCCAAGCATGTCCTCGGCCACAGGTAACTTCATACTGCTTCCTGTGAATTCGACATGCGTCGCTTTGACGTCCACCCCTGATGTGCCTTCAAACACCTGAACAATCGCCTTCTTTCCTTGAACTTCCAAAACCTGGCCGCCTCGCTTCGATCCATCGGGTAAGGTTAGCTGTACGATCTCATTGTATGAAGGAAACTGCGCAAAAAAAGCAAGTATGTAGGTCAGCACAACCCAACCAAAGGCAATGTAAGACCAGAATAAAATCAAAACCGATATCAAAACGCCGCGCACCTTGACATTGTCAAGCACCACAAGCGGGCTGCAGGAACACGGTCAGATCACTCATTGGCTATGGCAATAACACTCACCCATTGATCGCAGAAACGGTGCGGTAGTCTTGAGGGCTTGTCAATAACTACTCGGCGTCTTGCAATGCTTATGCTTTTGACGCACCAAGGTGTGGTTGGACGCGATATTCCCGCGTCACTGCAGCTGCATTGATTGCGGCTAGCTCTCCGTCACTCATGCGAGGGTCTGCAGCCATGATGCACAGGTGAGGCTAGGCGTTGGCGGGCGCAGTAGATTGTACTTTCGGATCCAGAGTAAGTAGCAGACCACTGCAAACCGACACTTTCCCACGCATCCCACATTAAGATCACAACACGCCCCCTCATAAAAAGTACATTTCAGCTAAGTAAGGGTGTTCATACGATATGATCTACATGCGCTTGGTCCTGCGTATAGGCCATACACTGAACAACGTTTTAATCACTCGGTAATTGTGCAAGAGAGGAGCTCCGAGACGCGAGTGGCTGCCACCTTCACTTCCATGCTTTCCGAAGACCTGTGATAAAGTCAGCTATTTGAAGGACGAAATATTTCAAAAACATACCATTCTGTTTCGAGAAGAAGTTCATCGACTGCTTCATCTGCCTCCCAGCCGAGGTCCCTGCTTTGTATGAATGTGTAGAGGTACTCAGCCGTACTGGTCCGGATCTAAGCCACGGTCAGTATCATCTACCCGTGATGTAAAAATATGACCTTTGGATAAGGGTGAGAAAGGAAGTCGATGATTCGCTCCGAGGATGATTTTGAAACCGAGGAAACGACCAAGAGGTTTACGACGCTACATATTGCTCAGTTGCAGTGCTCTCGTGTGATTAATAAACCCACATTTTCATGGACTCTTGCACTCGCTGTACATTCTTCAATCGCTGTACATTTCTTGTTGCAATGTTCAATAATCTCTCTAGTCTGAGAGCTTCGTTAGTTCGATTCGACCGAGAGAGGAAAACGAAGGCGACTTTGATGGGCCGTTGTCAACGCTAGACAGGCGAGACAATACGTCTGCCTCCAAAAGCATATTGAACGTTTGCAAGATAGGAACCACCACCGCGTTCGACGTCGTTCTCCCTTGTGCGCACTCGATGAGGTCGTCACATAGCTCAGATAGACTATAGCCAGAATCGCCGACTAATAATGGAAGGCCCTGCGCAAAGGAAACCAGACTCGAAGATGCTGGGCGGTGCTAGTGACGTCATCAGAGATGCCACACAAAAGTGCAAAGGAGACGGACCGTGCTTCCAGTTCTAGCTCCTACACTATGTATAAGACCTGTCAGTAGGGGTTGTCTATACTCTTGTACGCGGAGCAGTTCTACGGCTTTAGGAAATAGCCATTCCCCAACACTCCAACTGGTGATAGTGCCCGAGGCATCACTATTCTGGATGAGATAGGTGCGAGCAACTAATCGTTAGGGACTCACGTCAGAAACAGCTTCATAATGAGTTCTGAGCCTTTGATACGCCATTCCTCTTGATGAGGAACGGTCGGGAGAGGGATGCGAAACAATCGCAATAAACAGTGTCCCGCGGTTTGACGTACATTGTCCAGTCTTTCAACGCCCTGACGAAGGATTCTGGCTATCACACTGTGATACCTCTCCGCAGGCAAGTAATTCGTGAATTCAGGTATGTTTCCTGAAACGCGAAACAGATCTTCGAAAATTGATGCTAGACCTTGAATGCACGCCATTCGTACCCACGAGCCAACGTCGCCACGCTCATCCATCGTGTAATCATCTAGTCCGCTGTCAAGGGCATCAAGGACTCCATACATACTTTCTGCGATTAGATCTGAGGAAAGATGTTTCATTTACATTCGCCGAACATAAAATAAAAACACGAACATTCGGTGAGGCGAGGCAGTACATTCGTGATGATCTTGGGTAACGCTTGGAAGCAATTTCGACGTGCTTCAATGCTCGACATTCTTTCGGAGGACTGCGATCACCGCTTCAATCGGAATAAAGCCCTGAACCAGGGAAAAATCTTACGTTGGAATCGACACTATCCAACAAGCACTTGACTACCTCAGAGAAACCATGCGGATGCGCATTATAATTGAGTACACCTAGAGTATAGCCAAGACTTTGCTGCAAGGACTGAGGGCCACGGCGAAAGTCCTTGATTAATGTGCTAAGGGGGGCATGTCAGTTAATGTCTTGAAAATGTAGCATTAATTAATCTTATCTGTGCACATCTGGCGAGCAATCTATCAAGGAACTTGTTGTGGCTATGGCGGCGGCAGCGGCTTGTTGGACGGAAGAGCTTCTGTGTCGCAGTCCCTGGTCTATGATCCTTTTCCAGTGGGGCACGGATGACTTTTCCTGAAGCTCAATCTCCTGTAGTGTCAGGCTGCTTGCAATGAGATCGCACGCCGCCGCAAGTACTAGACCGTTTCGTGGAGACATAACAACATCTTTGGAAACAATGGCAATGAAGGCAAATATCTGATGGATAATCAACAAGAAAGGCGCGTTGAGAACTTCATCTGCACCTTTTGCCGGTTGCTTGCATTTTCTTCGCTCTCCTGAGCTCGGTACGCTTCAGAGATACCTGTCAATGCTGCAAGTGCTCCATGCACATCAGATACATCAACGGAGTCTAAAAATCCTGCCTAAAGCAAAATGAGAAATATCCTTCGTTGAATAGTCAGTCTCCTTACCATCTTCGTGGCACACTCCAGCCCTAGTATCTTCAAGTCGAGCTCGCATATCCGGCGCAAGGCCTGAGCACCCAACTCCCTCATCGCAACATCCCAGTGACGCAAAGTGATCGAAATGATGTGATCGATCAGATATGATCTGTACTCCAGGTGCCTAGTAACGTTCATTGAATTGACGGCTCTTCGTTGTGAAAGGGCGACTTACTCAGCGACTTGTGGAGCCGCGACAATGAACGCATTCCGCCGCACGCTGACTGCATAGAAGTCGGTTTTTCTAAGGACGTCGATACCATGTGGGAACAGCGCCTGAAACACATTGCATGAACTTTCCACGTAATTTACCTGAGACAAGCACATCAAGGTGTACCATTCTGCCAACATGTTCTTGGAAGGCGGCACTAGCCGCTCTTCGAATGTGAATTTCCCTGTCGAACAACGCCACAGAAACGAGCCACTGCGCGAGTTCACGAGCATAGGGAGAGAAGGATTCCGGATCTTGTGCCCTCGCTAAAGCCCAGATCACATAGGCCGCAGCATCCCGTACGTTTGATCCAATGGAATGGGCCCCCTTACGTATGTCGAAGTAGAGGGCCTAATGTACATCATCATCACGTGAAAACAGTTGATTCATATCTGGCTTTTCTCACTTTCGAGAGCCAGCCCAAGAGGCTTCCTAGTGCAGCAGTTTGAACTAGACCTCTGCGTGCCATCTCTGCTGACGCGAGAGATGCGCCATGCCAGGTAGCCTCAGCGATGGCAGGAGTGTCATAAACACTTGCGCCTGCTACAGAATGTATTGAGAAAAGACCAAGAATGGTCTCTAATACCTGAGAGGAGAAATCCGACGGAAGGCGTTCTGAAAGGCGAGCAATGCCTTTGGCTGCTGACCATCGTACCACTGTGTCCTATACGTTGTGTAATTGATGTTTGCACGTAACATACAAACAAATACCTTGTCCTGAAGGCTCTTGAATAGAGACTCTAAGATTGTGTCAATTTCTTCAGGAACATCAATATCATCATCGCCATCATCTACGTTCCCATTGACAGCCTCATTCTTGATATCACCATCCAGACTACGGACTGTGAAATTACAGATTAAATCATCGACCACGTTGAGATGTGAGTCGACATTACATGTTAACTTGGATCTAAATATATTCGGAGGCATCAGACGCAACGCAACGCGCGATAGCAATTTCGTGCGATATTTTCGAACCAATGTGTTGCTGGCCAAGGGGGTACTTTGCTCTAAGGTATCTGTAATTTCCAAGAGCTGTTGCGTAAACGCTTGGAGTTGTTCAGATGAACCAGATTTCATCAATTCACAAAGGACTTGTAATACTCCTATAGACTACTTGAAGTGAGTCGCATTTCGGAAAGCACCGAGTCATCTTACCAAGATGATATCCGAAGAGCGAAAAACTGTTATTGACCACTCGACAAAAGAGGAGAATTGCTGCTTGGTGTCCTTTCTTAAAGAAGTTCAATAAATGGGTGCCATCCGCGTGCATTGAGCTCACCGTGCATAGAAGCGTGCCAAAAGGGTAGCCGCTCCTTCGCGCTCTAATCCAGCCATGTTAAGGCGGTCTTTTCCAACGAGCTCGATCGCATTTGCTGTTTCACCGGATCGAGTGGTATCATCGAATTTCTGCAAGTCGAAAGGGATCCGACAAATGAGAGATAGCCAAAGCAGCACGGCATATCGCAGTCCCCATTGACTGGGGTCTTTTACTGGCCCTGACGGCAGCCGGATGAAATCCAAGGCGATCGAGAGATCGGAAACTTCATGAGGGAAGAATCTAGCTGCTTGGAATGAATATAAGGGGGATATATAAGAAAGTACCACCGACTTATTGTCTTATACCCGCGGAACTTGATATAGTTATGAAGAAGATCTGCGAGGCGTTCCACACGACTACGAGAAGACTGAGCACCTCGTGCATTAACGCATGCCATTGCATATCTTCTAAGGCATTCCGCGACGGGAGACACGAGGCTTTCAAGGTACGGGTCCAATAGATACGATTGCTCTTGGTATTCTCCAAACTTTCTCGACCATATCAAGGTACATCAACCCTGGATATAATGGATGACTTACAATCACGATTAATTTTTGACTGCAATGGAGTTCCACATCTTCCTCTTCGCGACTGGGCTCTACGAACAAATCGGCCACCAGCAGGGTATTTTGAGCTGCTACGAACTCGTCGTGGCGCTCAAAAGCTGCAAATAATCGGTTTTCTTGTGAGTCTTCATCCATGACCACCGTGTCATTGACGAAGTGAACTGCAGAGTCAACTGTGCTGATGCGCGAAACCTGATCTGACGAAGTAGTGTCTGTTTACGTCAGCGGCTTCAATGTGGGCTAAGCGCCATGGAGCACTTTTACAGTATACAAGAACCTAACCTATCATATCGTCCACCGACCTCTCAACTCTCAATCATATCATATGAACCCTAGCTTAGTGGAGACATAACAAACATTGATGTCACCTGCTGAGGCGCCAGTAAGAACGACGAAGAGAAAGAGAGAATATCAAACTGACGAGACGGTGCGCATTACAACGAGATTTCACGCAATAGTTTACTCATTTGCACACCAGAACATCGGGACCAAGTTAGAGAAGAAACTGGCACGTCTCATTTTCCAATTCGCATTACCCAAGATCTTAACCCTTGATTGTTCATCAAGCATCATGATGCACGGGAGGTCAGGAAAGCCGCGAAGAAGGCAAAAACTTTCGAGATGCAGAAGATTTTGAAGAAAATGAAAGATGCAAGGTGTGTGATTGGTTTCGCGATTTTAGCAGAGTGTCTTTCTGACAGTTTATCTTCCAGGCGCAAAGGCGACGATAACGTAGTCAAAGATATCGAAGCACAGCATATGACTCTCAAGGTGAATACTTGCGATGCATCCGATATATGTCCTTATCAAATAGTCTGCCAGCAACTCGACTCCGGTCCTATTGCCGACTCAGCTCTGTCAACAAAAATCAAGAAAGACAAATTCCTTTCACAGGATCCCAGCCTGCAATCTGCGATGTCCAAGTCACTATCTTCCAGCATAATCACCTCCGCTGTACCTGGATCCGCAGCAGGCATAGTCCAAAGCAGGCTACTTAGTTCCAAGATCCTAGCGGTTGAAGTTTCTCGTATAATCGAGGGACTCCGGCGCTTACTGCACCCTACGGAGCGGGTCTACCACGCAGAAGTCGATGGCGCCGAAGTATCACCGCCTCGAAAGAAAAAACAGAAGACACAACAGAATGAGGGTTTGCCTAAGGTCTCTCCGGTGGATTCTCCTTTTGAAGATGAACCAAGAGCAAATCTTGAAGATGATGGCTGGGAGTCAGGCACGGTTAGCGACGGCGATCATTTTGTCCAGGGAGATTCGGGGGTCGATAAAGGGCCTGACGAGGAATACAGCTCCACCTCCGATAGTGGCGATGACCTCCCTGTCCCTCACGAACCAGTAAATCGGGGGAAATCAAAGGCAACACAATCTACTTTTCTACCTTCCCTTTCTGTGGGTTTTATTCGCGGAGACTCGGACACCGATTTTAGCGACAGTGAGGAGAAAGCAACTGACACAGCCAAGAAGAATAGACGTGGTCAGCGGGCACGCAGGGCGTAAGTTTCCGGCTTGATTTTGGAACAATTATAACATAATTCTTCTTCAGAATATGGGAGAAGAAATTTGGAAGACATGCCAATCATGTGATGAAGCAGAAAACTTCTAACCGTCCCGATGCCCCTTCCGGCATTGTGGTTGTGCGCAAAGATCAGCGACAGCACAGGAATGGTAATCGCGATTCCGATGGCGCGCCGTTCTCCGGTCACAAGCAGAATACCCGAATACCGGACAAGAACAGATACAACGCACCCGCATCCCTCATGGCAGGTAACCGTAAGGAAGAGAAACCGCTTCATCCATCCTGGGAGGCTAAGAAGAAACAACAAAATATCGCAATTGTGCCTGCACAGGGCACAAGAATTGTCTTCACTTAGTCTTAAACGTCATCCGAACACGAAAACACGACATCATACGAATCCAATATATACATAATCCAATTCAGTTGGCATTGCGCATGTATCAAAGAAAGCTATTGAAGCATGACACGTGCGTAAGACAACTGCCTAGAAGCCTGGCCCGTGCGTAACAAAGAATGCCTAGAAGCATGATGGGTGCGTAAAGAATCGCGGTAGAATTTTATGGCATATGACCAGTAAAAGCTGTGTAGAGCATTTTGGAGAAGATGTGGATAGCGAGGAAATTCATTGCGGGACCATAGAGGGAATCACGTTCTGCAGACGTGTCTCTTCCCTCCCTGCATCCTACATTCCCTGGAGCACCACGTATCACCACACCGGGGACAGTGTGGGAAGTCCCTACCTGTTTTCAAACACGTGACGCACACAGTGCGGCACGACAACTTCGAGGCATTCTCGATAGCTTCAAGAATAGGACAGAGCGTAGAGATATTATCTCCAAGAGGTGATGCAGGTGGGGAGTCGTGTGAGGATAACGTAGGTATGAGATGTTCACCCAAGGTTGAGTTCATAGAGGATGTGCGGCTTATAAATGGGCGAGCGGGTGAACGAGACCGCGATCGAGGGAGATCGGGGAGTTCAAAGTTGTGCTCGTTCTCCCACCCCGTGTCCAGTCGCTTCCCACGTGGCTTGGAATGAATAGAAAAACACGAGCGGAGCCAGAAGACCGCTGGTATGGTGGTGGTAAATGAACCATGAGCTTGGAGGTCGCCTTGAACGACCTCAGCAGGGGATGCTTCATAGAGCTTTTGGGGAAGGGGAAATTGTGATGCAGTTGACGATTGGGAGGTCATCGAGATACTCCACGTCCGCTTGCGCCTATAACCAACAGGCGCATATTTCTGATGGTGCTACAAAGCCGGACATGTAAGGAGGGAGTCAATATCGAGCTTTTAAGACATACCTCGAAGCTGCTGTGTGATGTATGATGTGAGGTATCCATTGTGAGGTTAGAGTTGGCGTTGCCCATACAACACTCTTCCGAGCGTAGATAAATATGACAGCGGATATTTGTAGCTATCAGCCAATGATCTCAAAAGAGGGGATCGTGGAAATAAGCTGTGCCGAAAAAGATAAAAGATATGATAACTCACCTGCGCCCTCCGCACGGGCCTGCGTAGCAAATGAGAATAATGTGACGACAGGAGAGGACAAAGTGGTCGTGTGCCAGGTCGGCATAATTTGCTTTCTAGCGGAAACTTCCTTTCCGAATACGACATCGATGTCGAAACTTCTGAATCTTTACGGCATAGAATGGATAAAGCGAAGAAGCAACCGATTGCCCCGGTTTATTACACATAAGCGATATCGTATCAGATTCATAATCTGTGACGAAACTTTTCAAAAAAGTTCAACCTGCAATCATCTCGACAGTCATTCATCTGTATCTCATTATGCCACCTCATAGTTCACGTACTTTGCGGTAAGTCGGAAGCTTCGGTTGAGCGTTCTGTGTCACGCTTAAGATCGTCGGCAGATGCTAAGAAAACATTAGGACTATCACGGCGCTCCGAATCACTTAAGTAGGCCAGCCACATGACGGAGAATATACGGACCGGGCGGTCGTACTTTGGTGCGCACCAGACGACACGAGGGTTTATGGCGTCACAGGCGTTGGGGCTAGAATGACGAAGAACGGCACATTTTGTCAGTCTTATCACGTATACGTGGAATACGATTCGTGGACAACTGACAACCTGGTAACAAGACAAGTTTGAAAGTCTGAAACAGGACGTTAGAAGCCTGCAATCCGGGATGAGCCTGCTATTGACCTAGACCTTTTAATCTGATACGTTACGTCCCCTGTGGTTAGCCAATTCAATAATAGTAGAACACATGCACAAGCCCAGAGTCACGGCGCAGCCGGTGACTAGCCAGTCACGGTCATAGGGCGAAATTGAGAACCTGATTTAATTGTGATTCAATTGTGACTCAAAGTCATTACGCGATGCTCTGCTACCACGTACCCTGTTGCTGCTGCTACTGCTGGCTATCCTACCCCGGATTTGCCAAGCGTAGTACGTACTAGGGCTACAAAGTAGCATAGAGCTTCAGATGCGGCCAGTACCGATCATTGATCATAGGCTATGCCGCCGAGGCTGAAAACCCTAGCAGACAAACAAGACAAAATAGGAATGACTTGCGTGCTTGCTGTGCTCGTTGACCAGCATAGACCATATCTGCATCCTCTTGAAAATTTACCTTCTCCCTTCATTTCCATCCCTTTGAGTCAGGAAATTGCAGCAGTTTGACGTCTACACAGTTCTGATTCGGTTCATCGGCTAAGCGATCACTCTCTGCTCTCTTACGTCTTTCCCCATCAATAGCGATCCATGGTATGCTCTGACACATCTCATCACATTACACGGCCAGTCTCACTTTCGGCCGTTCGTTAGGGTCAAACACTCTCAGCACCAGGTAGGGAGTCCTTGCGCAGCCTATGTTTTTACTCCAAGAAACACATTCATGACCTACCCTTGTTTCGACAGCCACAGAGAAGAAATCAGACACAGGGGAAGATGATCGATACCTATTTGCAGTTTCTGAGATGCAAGGATGGAGAATTAGTGCGTCACCAGTTTTTTTGGCTGCGGTTTTGATCTCACACATATCATGTATATCTGTATCCTCATTGCAGCTATGGAGGATGCCCATGTGACCATGCTAACCCTTGAAGAGAACACAACAGATAAAAACACATTCTTTGCTGTTTATGATGGACACGGTGGTAAACTACCTGCTGATTTTTTTGGCGGTTATAGCCTCGAGCTCAGTTTGATTCTTCACAGGAAGTACCGTCGCGAGGTTTGCGGGGAAAAACGTTCACAGGCGACTAATTTCAGAAGAGGCATATCGTGAAAAGCGTTATGATGAAGCGCTTAAGAAAGCGTTCTTGGGTACCGATGAAGATCTTCTTGCTGGTACGCCATATCGCCTTGCTGTCTCTGCATACCCCGCTCATTTCAACACAGATCCGTCGCATACCCGTGACCCGTCAGGTTGTACTGCTGTAGCTGCTTTGATAACAGAAGATAACAAAATTTATGTGGTACAGCAGTTTTTCCTATTTAATTGTCCTTTTGCCAACGGTTGCCTGACAGGCAAATGCTGGCGATTCCCGGTCTGTTCTTAGCGTTCAAGGTAATGCCAAGGCCTTGAGTTTTGACCATAAACCATCAAGCGAGAGTACGTTGATCATTCGACTATTGAGCCATTATCCTTGTTTACTAGTATTCAGCTGAACGGAAACGGATCACGGAAGCTGGAGGATACGTAGAATATGGACGCGTCAATGGTGAGTCGTCCGATTGCT